TTAACATATTTTGTTAGCTAAAGGCATTGCGCCCAAACATATGCAATTATAAAGTGCTCTTCTCACCAGCGGCCGCCCACAATGGCTTAGACTCAACGACCTTCAACATATTTTTTAACACACTTGCCACGCACCGCGAAGCATAATTTTAGGCATCATTTATGCGTACAAGCGAACCCACATGTGCATCATTTGTGACGGCATACGCTGACAGCAAACCATAGTGGACCGCGGTTTGCTAAAAACTCTGTCTATTTGTATGCAGTTGTCGACTTATAGGCGTGTAACGTCAAAGTAATTGTATACACATAGGCGCCGCGCATACAGCTGCCATTAGCCGTGTAAAATTTTACGAGCGTTGCGTTGGTGCGTAAATAATTTCATGTTTGCATATTGACAGGCGCGCGAAACTGATTTTATGGTACAAGCAGACTTATTTGCGTGTGTGAGTGTTGGTATTTACATGTGGGTGTACTTAATTTCATAGCAACTTACATGCACTCGAAGCCGACACGCGTGTCAAAGCGCGCTACAACAATTTTACCTTCAATTTCAGTTGCTAAGCAAAGCTGTCCGCGTTCAGCTGTTTGTTGTTGTGTTTACTTTGACGCCAGCGCCTTGTCGTATGCATTGCCAGGGAGTCCGCCACTCGTATATGCGCATTTTATGTGTGTCTTTTGTTGTGCGCAAATGTTGCATGTGGCATGTAGCTTTGCCACAAATTGTAGGCAAACGTTTCAACGCCACTTTGTTGTATCCACTTATGTAACACAAAATCACATTGATTATTCGATTTATTGAATTATTGCATAATTTCAGGCTCTGATTTATGTGCACACGCGATTCGTGTGATATTTCACCTGCCATTAAGAGACTAGCGCCAGCTATTTATTATAAATGGTTGTCTACACGTGTGTGGTTTAGTAAAACTTTTACAATACTTTGCAGCATTTTGTATGAAAGAAATTCGCATTGCATAATTTTAGGCGCATTTGTTTTTCTAATAAAGTAACTTATATAATTTTCTCTTCATCCCTACGAGAAGCGTTTTATGATAAGGTATATGTTAGGAGTGGAAAAACCACCATATGCATAAGTATTTCCAATGAAATGGAGGTCTTCTTATACTTTCAAAGCGGGAGTGTTCTCACCCATCCGGACAACATGACCAAGATAGCGTAGCCACTCTCTCTTGATTCACAGAATTACAAGTATGTCAATATCGTAGTATATCTAGTGCAGCTCATCATTTCACGAACTGCGGTATTCGTCGTTGCCAATTAGCAAAGAAGCATACAAACCGAAAACTCCGAAAACTCCTTACGCCGACTCACCAGATGTTGTAATTATCTTTACCTCTGCACCATATAGCACATATGAGTATAGCAGGAGGAAAATGATGAGGCACCTGTAGATTTTGGTTTTTGTTCGTCGAGAGAGGACTTTACTTTTTAATTGCTTTTTCAGTTCAAAGTATGTTTTTGGAAATAGCGGTAATGGATCCCTTTGGAGGCAAAAATATTCGTAGGTTATTCTTTCCATCGTTTATGGTTCTAACAGCTGGTACCTCAAAGGCACAGAAACTATAGTTCTCTGTCGACCATTTGCATTAGACACTTCAGTTTGCGATCTCTTTCGGAGTATATTCAGTTCTATCAGTTTAATGGCCTTCTGTCGGGTGAACCAGCAACAAACATACCTCAAATAATTTCGTGAGCAGTCCGAATTTCCAAATTTTGTGGAAACAGAATTCATTAATAACCTTTTCTATATAAGTGTTTCACCATCTCATTTCTTAAAATGCATATTTGTACCGAGTATGAGATTAATATGAATGCAAAAGCATCTAATTTGAAGTTTATCGTTGCCTAACTTCTGATTTCCCTATAGGCCTCTTTGGTTAGGAACCCGGTCCGAAACTTGCCATTTTGCCACTCCTTCTACTTATCTGAAAGAACACACCATGATCAATAGCTTACTTCTTTTTAACATTTTGTTTGGTAGCAAAAACAACAAAATTATCGAAAACACGGAGCACGCTCTGTGCTACCTCTACTATCAACGTCACATTATATTAAACTCTTCTTCTCCCCAAACGGTTTTCTTACGACATAATCGGACGCACTAGAATGAGACGTCAACGTAACGAACTGGTGTAATAAATCAGAAATTACAAAGAAAACAGATAGACAGTGGCCAGGCAGGCAATATCTTGAAATTAAATGCTCTAACTGCGAACGGAAACGGCGTTTAAGAGTTGAGAAGAGGTGGGCAAGGTAGCATAAAAGGAAGAAATGTGAGAGCAAGATAGCACAGAAAGGAAGAAAACTCAGAGTAAGGTGGCACAAAAGTAGAGATAGCCAGTGGAGAGCCAAAAAAGGTTGCAAAAAGGCGGAAAGTAACGGAAGAAATATCTCTAAAATGAATTACAAGTGCGCAAAAAGGGCCAATAAAGTGAACGAACTGATAAGCGCTGGTAAGAAAATTGCAATAAAATGGAAATAAAATGCAAATTAAAAGTAAAATTAGAAATAAAAATCAGTTGAGTTGCATTAGAGCATAGAAGGATAACAGAACTGAAAACGGAAGCTAATGGAAGGCAGTGTCGCATGCAAAGAAGCTGCTGGGCAAAGCAATAGTAATTGTTAGGTGTTAAACCGTTATTATTTGCATGCTCGTTAAGTGAAATTAAACACCAAAGGGTAATGCTTATTATTTATCCAAGAAAAAAGCACAAAATACAATAGAAACAAATAACGCTAAGTAGATTAAAGTAAAGGTTAGTAGGAGATAATAAAAAGGGAGTAAAATAAGTACATTTTTAAAGTAGCAATGAAGTGGCAGCGATAATGATGATGTCGATTATTGAGTGAAGAGATAATGTATATATAAATATAATGTAATAAAAAAAAGTTCCCAGAAATATGTGTTTAATTATATTAAATGGTTGGCAACCTTGTTCAATATATTTATTTTCTAAATTTTTTAAGACTACTGCTCATTATGCAGAAGTTAATATGTTATACATTCATGCAGTTAAAATTATAGCATTTCTATATAAATGGATGGCAACCCTATTCAATAAAATTCTGTAATAAAATTTTTTTCCATTAAATTCTGTTCTTTTTAAGCAAATGCAGTACTATATTATAAAATGTATTTCACTTTATAGGATATCAAATAAATTGACAGGCAACTCTAACCCAAATATTAACAACTGTATAACTTCAAATTAATTTGTAATTTGAAAAACTGAATACTGAATTGATGTCGAAATTATATTTTCTCAACGACGGCAGTGGGATATCTCTTTAGATAAATGCATACCTCTAAATATCTCCACAACAAAAATAAAATTATTTATAAATTATGATTAAACATTCAAATAATTGTAAGTATAAGTTGAAATAAATGAAATTAAGTTATAATTAAAACTAAAATTAAAACTAAAAATTAATTATAATTAAATTAACAATTGAATGTGCAATTAAAAATAAAATAAAAAAATTAATAACAGAATCGTAACTGAAATTAAAACTACCATTAAACTCAAATTAAAATTCCGACTAAATTTAGGTTTAAAATTAAAAAACTTAAACTTAAAAAAACACATTAATAATAAAATTTGACTAGAATAAATATTAAAAATAAAAGTAAAGAAAACAAAATAAAGTTAAACTTTTATTAAAATTAAAACTAAAATTTAAATTTAAATTTAAATTCAGATTAAAATTCAAACTAAAACACAAAACAAACTAAAATTCAAAATTTCAATTAAAATTTAAAAAAACTAATATTAAATTGAAAATTCCAAGTAAAATTAAAATTTAATTTACACCTTAAACTGAAACTAAAATTTTAATTAAACCTAAATTAAAATTGATATTGATATTAAAATTAAACTTTAAATAAACCTTTTTTATTTGTTAACAAAAATAAATTTAAAATAAAAATTAAAATTGAAAATAAAATTAAAACCAAATTAAATTTTATTTATAATTAAAATTAAAATTAAAAATTAAAATTAAAATTATAAACTAAAAAATTAAAAATTAAAAAATAAATAAAATTGAAGTAAAATAAAAATTTAAATTTAAACTAAAACCAAAATATAAATTAAAAATAAAATTAAAATTGATATTAAATTTAAAATTAAACTTTAAACCAACATTTGTTTTTTAACTATAATTAAATTTAAAACTTTAATTAAAAATACAGTTGAAACTAAATTAGATTAAAAAAAATTAAAATTAAAATTAAAATTAAAATTAATATTAAAATTAATATTAAAATTGAACATAAACTATAAATCAAGACTTGTTTTTTTTTAATTAAATGTCAATTAAATTGAAATTTAAACCAAATATTTAAACTGAAAGTAAAATTAAAAACAAATTAAATTTTAATTATAATTAAATTTAAATTTAAATTAAAATAAAAAGTAAAAAGTAAAATTAATATAAGATTTTAAATTAATATTAAAAATAATTAACTTTAAAATTTGATTCAATAAATACATTGAACTCAATTAAGAGTAAAATTAAAATTAATGTTAATAATTAAATTTATATTAAAATTAATGGTAAAATTAAACTTAAACTTAATTTTTAAATCTAGATTTTTTTTTTTTTTTTTAAATTAAATTAAAATTCATAATTAAATCCAAAATAAAATTGAAAGTTAAATTAACACCAAACTAAAATTATATTTATTATTAAAGTGAATATAATATTCAATTTTTAATTTAAAATAAAAGTAATTAACTTTAAAATTGTATTAAATGAATACATTGAATTCAATGAAAAGTAAAAATTAAAATCAAATTTTATTTTGAAATTAAATGACATTAAGGTGACTCATACATCAGAACTGAAACTGAAATTAAGATGTAAAAATGTAATCGGAATATAAGTTGAAATAAATTTAACTTAAATTTGAAATCAAACATGAAATTAAAGTTATAATTTTAAATATACAATTAAATAAAAATAAAAATACAGTTTTCCAAAAAGGCAAAATTATATTTTATTTAATATTTTAATTACAATAAAATTTTAATGTAAACTTGGAAGTTTTTGCACTTACATAAGTGTCTTTAACCCTATATTATAATTTTAAAACTAAGTATGGGAAAACAAGAAAAACGAGAAACTGGAACGATTTAATTGAAATTCGTTGTATCGAACTACCGCTTTCAAGCACACATTAAATAAAGAATGTGAAATGTAATTGAAAACCACAAAAATTGGCTATACAACGGCAGACACAGACGACGGAAAAGTCCGTACAAGCAAAAAGTTACAAAACAAAAACTTTTTTCCTCCCATTTATAACTAAATACAGATTACAAACATATATGTAGGCGTATGTATATTAAATGGCATTAGAAAAATTGAGCTTCACAACTCAGCACTGTGGCTTGCACCCACTCTACAGCATTGCTGGTGGCTCGCCGCGTCTACGTGACTGGCACACAACACTGCTGACAGTTCTCCATTTGCGGTGTGAACTCCTCGATTTGTATGGTCGTCTCAAAGAAATTATAGCGGCGATGAACTGCGGTGCTGGCCTCTTCCAAAATGCGTTTGGCATTCGCTTCGGGTGCTGAGAAAAGTAAAAAAAATTTTTTTATTAAAATTTTAATTTTGATTTTTGTAAAAAAAATGTTACTTAAGAATCCGAAAATCGTTGCATACTTATGAGATGACGTGAGTTGGTAATGGAGTTAGTGTTGTTAGTGCGCGTACATATATACATAGTAGTATTATATGTGGATAGTTGCTTGATGACTTAATGGTGATTGTTTTAGTTTGATTATTTATTCAACATAAAAATATTTAAATTTTGTGGCATACTTTGAGGCGTATAGGATTCACATAAATATTGTTATGAGCTATGAAGTGGTTCAATTAAATATCTTGTTATTTTTTTGTTTTGTTGCTGATTGTTTAGCACACTTTTCGGTGTTATTGATAGATCTTTTTTTAAGTATAAATTTTTCACGATACAATTTTGTTTTAACACATCAAACAATGTTACAAATAAAGAATTTTCTCCACTGAAGTTAACGTGGTTATTGAGTAATTACTGGTCTTAGAAAAATTAGTTGATACTGCTTCTGTAGTTTCAAAATTAAGTAGATTAAATGCATTAATGGTCGTGGGCAAGCCCACTTTTAAGAATTTCTAGCCCGCTGGTGTCACTCTCTACTGTGATGGCCTGTATCAAATAATACATAGGTAAATAAGTTTGGAGCTTGACTAAAGTTAAAGCACTTTATAGGTTGTCGTATAATTGAGTTTTGTGTACGTGATAATAGTTCGATTATGCCCATCTACAATACCAATATCCCCCGTGGTGGCCTAGGAACTCGAGTGGCAAGCTTCATTACGATATCTCAATTCAGTCAATCTTAAATTGTCAATAAAGTGTATTTATGATGTTTAGTCGTTACGAAGTTGTTACAAAAATTTACATGTAGCAATCTCGCATCATTTTTTTACAAAACCTGCATACTTTTCGGCGCCAAGCATTGAAAAGAATTTTGCTAATCCTCCAATTAAAATGCTGCCAATTTATGGCAATCCATATTTAGCATCACCAAACACAACAGCCATACAAAAAAAAAACGCTTCTGCAGACACAAATTGCATTTTTCAATCTCAGTCCTATTGCAGACATCTTGCTTATGTCTCGATGCAAATTAGATTTTCACACGTGCAAAAACGTGACCACAGTTAAATACGAATAACCACAGCACAGCAGCAGCCAAGTGACTATGACAACCCGACAACTTCGAACGAAGGAAACAAAGCGACTGGCAGCCGAAAAGGAAGGTGCTACATAACTTGAGGCATAACGTGAGGCGCAATACAGCGAAGCTTGGGTATGTGTTTGTGTGTGAAATGTGTAAACAAAAGCGAATTGTTGGCTTGCAGCGTGTAATGCAATTGCCAAAAACTTTAACTTGCAACTTCCTCAATTTTGCGCTACACTACAGCAGTGCGCAGCGCTACACACACACACCGCCCAAAAGTCGGCAACAAACAAATCAAAAGTACAGTAAAGTTAACAAATAAACTACAGCTACTAACTACACGCCTTCTACTACTCCACAGCTATCTCTTGGTTGTTGCTGGTGTTTACTCAACTGTCTGTCCCGCCCGCTCAACCGCCCCCTTCGCCGTTATACTTTCAGCATTTCATAGTTTGCATGCTGTTTTTGTTTGCGCTGCCTGCCAGTTTGTCTGCTCGTCTTAGCTGGCTGTCTGTCTGCTGTTCGGTATTACGCTTGTGCGCCTTGAATCCTGCTAACACGTAATGTTGCAAAATGTTTGCATACTTTTTGGCAGCAATGGCAATGCGCTCCCTAAGCTATGCCAGCAATCAGGCAAACCGGTAGCATTGTCATTGTCGTTGACGTTGCAAATGCGTATTGACAAAATTTAAGCTGTGAAGTTTGAGTATGAGTTTTACGACAAATATTAATTAAGCACTCAAATAAAGCAATAATGAATGCAGCCGCCTTAAGGTATGCAACAGTTTTGCCAATAAGCGTGACAAGGCGAGTATGTTTAAAAAAAATGCGTAATGTAGTCGAAATGGAAATCGACAAATTACAACATTTCTGAAGTAAAGACGCCTTTTAACTCCTTTCACCGCACGCTTCACCTCTTTTAAGACTTTTGCAACCACATTTTTCACCTCCAATTCCAGAGCACAAGCATTCCATTTGCTTTTACGACTTCTGCCGATTTATGCTGCTGCACCGCTTTATGCCTCTCTTACGCATTGAACTCTTTTTTTATGCGCCAACAAATTTTCCGTTTACGCAATGCGGAAGGATGCGTGCTGCATGTGGCATTTAATCGTGCTTTTTACTTTCTTTATATTTTACACTTTATATTTTGCTTGCTTTCTTTCAGCATTTCTTTATATTACTTTTATCACGTGCATCATAAAAATGTGCAGCAGTTACGGTCAGCTGGAGTCGTAATGATAAAGTGTACGTTGACATTTCACGGTAAATGGGAAATTTGTAAATTCTTTATGCGCACAAAGAAATTTGTGAAATAAAAATAGACTTTAAAGACAAAAAGGAATGCGAGCTGGTGATATTAATTTGATTTTTTATGAGTTGACCTTAATTTCTGTAAAGGGGTGTGTGTAGGATGGAGATAAATGAGAATATTTATGGTGTTCAAGGGAAAGCCTGCAGGTTTAGATCTCAGAG